ACGTAGTTTGCCATGCCAGTTATCAGGCTTTAAGACTGGGTTGGACCATTGATTGTTTTTCTCCCTTTACAGTTTGCATGTTATTATCTAGTATGATAGCTATACTTCAAGTAGAAGGCCTCCAGGTCAGTTCCTGCTCCATTGCTCCAAGTCAGGTATCAACAGCATGTCCTGTCTTCAGTAGTGGGGTCTTATCTGTTAGTTCTGGGAAATAACTGAGAGATTTGGCAATAGCTTATATAATTTTGGGAGTCTCCTGTACCACTATCACCAGCCACTCAAAGGGAGGTCTCTTCTGTTTGGCACTGTATTCCTTGCCAAGTAGCTCCCAAGTATACATATGCACTAATCTTCAGACACTGTATGGGCATTTCTCATGGGGTTTGTGGGCACCATATTTCCCTCTGGGTTCCCTAGCCCCCCAAGATTCATTCATCTCTATTCCTCCCATCTGGCCTCCCTCCTCCCTCCCCAGTCCCAGCATGCCCATTAACCCACCTTCTCCCCAATAACACCTGACTTTTACTGTTCTCCCTCTCCTGACTGCCCCCCGAGCCTTGGCCCCTTGCACATCCCTTCCCTTTTTCCCTTCCTGCCCAATACTCTCACTTTCCCCACCTCTCCCCTGGTAACATCTGCTCACTACTATTCCCCTCTTTCAGATTCTTTCTTTTTCTTTACCTCTGTGTATTCTTTCCATTTTCCTGGCTCCTGGTGTTACAGCAGAATATATATATGGTATTGGTGCTACAAGCTGCAAATGAGGGAGAACATATGTCCTTACTTTTCTGAATTTGTGTTGCTTCACTTAGTATAACACTCTCTAGTTCCATCCATTTACCTTGCAAATTTCATCTTTTCTTACTGCTGAGTTAAACTGCATTGTGTAAATGTGTCAAATTTTCATTATCCATTCACGGGTTTAGGGACATTTAGCTTGTTTCCATTTCTTAGCTATTGTGAAGACAGCAGCAACAAACATGGATGGATGGGTATCTCCACTGTAGGATGAGTCATTTGGGTGTATGACAAGGAGTGTTATAACCTGGTCAAATGGTAGGTTCCTTTTTAGGTTTTTGAGAATTCTCCACACTGCTCTCCATAGTGATTGCATGAATTTGCATTCCCCCCCAGCAGTGAATGAACCATCCTCCTTTTTCCACATCCTCTCCAGCATTTGAAGTCTTTCCCTCTCTTGATCTTGCCTAGTCTGACTGGGATAAGATAGAAATTTAAAGTGTTTTTTTATCTGCATTTCTGTAATTACTAAGGATGTTGAGCATTTCTAAGAAGCCTCTTAAGCATGTTTATTTCTTCCTTTGAAAACTCTCTGTTCGGTTCTATAATCCATCTTTTTATTAGGTCATTTATTTTCTTGTTTCTTTGTTTTTTGAGTTCTTTGTGTATTCTAGATAATAATCCTCTGTCTGAAGTATAGCTGGTAAATATTTCCGCCCACTCAGTGGGTTTCCTCTTCCTTTCCTTGATTGTTTCTTTTGCTGTATAAAAGCTTTTATCTTAATGAGGCACCACTTACTGATTGTTGACCTTAATATCTTAACAGCTTGTGTCAGATTTAGAAAGCCCTTTCCTATGACCTATATCTTGGAGAGTATTGACAATATTTTCTACTAGAAGTTTCTGAGTTTCCGGTTTTATATAGAGGTCTTTGATGCATTTGGAGTTGACTTTTGTGCAGGAAGAAAGATAAGGATCTAGTTTCATTCTTCTACAGGTGAAGGTCCAGTTTTGCCAGCACCATTTGTTGAAGATGTTGTCTTTCCTCCACTGTGTGTTCTTAGCACTTTTGTCAGATATCAGGTGACTGAAATTGCACTTACTCATTTTTGGATCATCTATTGTGTTCCATTGATGGAACTATAGCTCTGTAATATAATCTGAGTTGTTATGGTGATCCCCCAGCATTGTTCTTTTTGCCCAAGACCGCTTTGGCTAGCCTGTGTCTTTCGGATTCCGTATGAATTTTAGGATGATTTTTTTTCAATCTCTGTGAAGAGTGCTCTGGGTATTTTGATTGGCATTGCAGTGAATCTGTTCACTGCTTTTGGTAAGATGGTCATTTTCAAAACATTAATTCTACCAATCCATAAGCATGGTAGGTCTTTCTACCTCCTGGTGTCTTCCTCTATCTCTTTCTTTAGAGATTTGAAAATTTCATTGTGGAGATCTTTGTGAATGGGAGGGTTCCCTTGAATGCTTTTTCTGATTGCTTGTTTTGAGTATATGGAAAAGCTACTGATTTTTTGTAAGTTGATTTTGTTACCTGTCACTTTACTGAAAGAATTAATCATTTCTAACAGTTTTGTAGTGGAATTTTTGGGGTCTCTTATGTATAATATCATATCAAATGCAAATAGAGATAATTTGATCTATTCTTCTCCAATTAGTACTCCTTTAATGTCCTTCTTTGTCTTGCAGATTTTGCAAGAGTATTAAGCGCTATATGGAAAAGGAGTGGGGATAATGGACAGCCTTGTCTGGTTCCTGATTTTAATGAGAATGCTTCCAGTTTTTCTCCATTTAGAATGATGTTGGCTATGTTTTTTATTGTATATAGCTTTAATTATGTTGAGATACCTTTCCTCCAGACCAATTCCTTCTTAGACTTTTAACATGAATGCATGTTGGATTTGGTGAAATAACTTATTTGTGTCTATTAAGATGACCACTTGGTATCTGTCTTTAAGTCCATTTATATGCTTTAATACATTTATGGACTTATGCATATTGAACCATCCCTGCATCTCTGGAATAAAGCCAGAATTGTTGTGGTAGATGATTTTTTGATGTGTGTTTGTATGCAGTTTGTGAGTGTTTTGTTGTATGTGTTTGTATCTGTGTTCATTAAGGATATGTGTCTACAGTTTCCTTTTTTGTTGTATCTTTACCTAGCTTTGGAATTTGTTGTTTCTTCTCATCTACTAGGTTTGGGGTTGATTTGTTCTTGCCTTTCCAAAGTCTTGAGTTTTACTGTTAAGTCTTACATGTGCTTTTTTTGAAAATATTTTATTTATTATTTTTATTTTATATGTATGTATGTATTGCCTGCATGTTTTTTAATGTAGGCACTAAGAACTATAAACTACCATCTTACTGCTTTTAAGATGGACCAGAGGTTGGTGTGTTGTATTCTCATTTTCATTGAGTTTCAGGAATGTTTTTATTTCTTTTTTAATTTCTTCTTTGACCCATTCATCATTCAGGAGTTGCTTAATCTCCATTACTTAGTGTATTTTTTGCTGTTGATTTTAAGCTTTATTGGACTATGGTCTGATAGAAGGCTTGGAATTATTTACAGCTTTTTTTTTTTTTTTTTTTTTGTATTTGTTGGCATTTGTTTTCTGCCCCAGAATGTGGTAAATTTTCGCAAAACTTGCATGGGCTGCTAAGTAGAAAGTGAATTGTTTGGTGCTTGAGTGGAATATTCTGTAGATGTCTGTTAGATCTATATCATGTAAGTTGTCATTTAATTCAGATGTTTCCTGTTTATTCTTTGTCCAGTTGACCTGTCTATTGAAGATAGTATGGTATTAAAGCCACCTACTATTACTGAGTTGGATTAATCTCTGTTTTATAGACCTGGAGTACTGTTTCTATGAAATTGGGGGCTCCAGAGTTTGGTGCATACATGTTCATGTTATAATATCTTCTTGATTGATTGATCATTTGATTAGAATGAAGAGACCCTCTTTATCTCCTCTGATTAGTTAATTTGAAATATATTTTGTGAGATATTAGAATTGCAACTCCTGCTTGCTTCTTAGGGCCATTTGCTTGTAAAATGTTTTCCACTGTTTCACCTTAATTTAGTGACTATCCTTGAAGGTGAGATGAGTTTCTTGAAGGCAATAAAAAGATGGATTTTCTTTCTTGGTTCATTCTACTAGCTTATATCTTTTGATAGGGGAGTTGAGGCCATTGCTACTTAGTGTTGTTATGAAAGGTGTGCATTGGATACTGTCATTTTAATTTCTTTGTTTATGACCCTCTTTTGTGTTTCCTTTATTTTATCTTTATTTTGTTTCATTCTGTAGCATCTTGGATATACTTGTTCCTTTCTTCAGTCCTTTGTGTTGCTTCAAACATTCTCTGTAGGGTGGTTTGGCAGACATAAATCCTTTCAGCCTGTTTGTGTCATGAAAAATTTTCCATTCCCCTTGGACCATGATAGGTTTGTTGGATAAAGTTTTCTGGGTTGGCATCCATGGTCTTTTAGAACTGGGAATACTTTGGTCCAGGTGCTTCTAGCTTTCGTAGTCTGCATTGAGAAGGCGGCTCTAATTCTTATGGGTTTTCCTTTATATGTAACTTGTTTTTCTCTAGCAATGTTCAGTACTTTCTTTTGTTCTTTACATTTAATGCTTTTACTACAATATCCCTTTTGCTTTACATGGTTTTCAAAGGTCAGAATACGCCCAGGCTTCTTGGAATGGGATTATCACTCTTAGTCCCTGTTTCTCTTACACACTGCTTAGGAATGTCAAGTAGGGATTTCTCTTTTCTCTCAGCCATTGGAAATACTTGGTTTTCCTCATCAAAGTTTATTGTTTGCAGACCTTGCAAGCAGGTTACACTTTGGGTGTTTCTGAGCCTCACCCATCACAATGACCCCACTGTAGTTCAAGACATTCCCCAATAGGTTGATTTCCCCAAAAGGTTTTACTATGGGTAAAGGAGGAAGCTAGGTCCTCACAGCAGGCAGCAATTAGCTCATAGGCATCCAGTCCAAGACTCTTTTAGCAGCTTCCCACATCTTTACACCAACCATTATAGACTTCCCAGATTCTCAATTCTATTGAGGACTGCAGCTAGGTCTTGACAGTCACTGGGTGATGATGATGGTCAGCTGACCATGGGTACCACCAGGATGTATGGGTGGGCAGGCCAGCTCTGTCCTGACCCACCAGTGCACAGCACCCATGCCAGTGTGGCTTTGCTGGTGCACATGGGAGGTCAGGCCGGTTTCTCCCTGAGGGTGTTAAAGTCCTTCATGTATGTATCAAAACTCATACTGCACATGAGCTCAGGATTGCAAAGAGGATTTATTTTTGCACTTGTCTTTCATTCCTTTGCCCATCAGTGGAATAAACACACACAAGGCACTTAAGGCAAGCCTTTTATGGACTGCACCATTTCCCCAGGCCCTGCCTCAACTGTTTTATTTTGTCTTCCTTTTACCAATATTATTTGAATCAATATGATAATGTAATTAGTAAGGACAGTGAAATAAGACCAAGTGTGGTGTTTATACTTCGACTTGTTTTCTATGTAAAGTCCAGTGGGTTAATGTTGTGTAACTGTTTCCTATCCTTGCTCTGGAAACTGTTACTGGATATGTTAAAGCTGTAATGAAAAGAAAAAAAAAAAAGCAACATTCTGTCCTACAGTGGGATGCAGGCTCTCAGGAGTCAGGAAGAAAATGTAACATTCAAGGGTCAGAATATAAATGGCACAAGGCTAGGGAATCTTCTCATATTTATGAGATTAACAAGACCTCTCCGCAAGATTATATAATTACTGGGAAGGGCAGTCAATGCAACTGACCTAATTTCTTGAAAGTTGTAGAGAGAGGTCCAGGGTTTCAGCAGCCATGCTATGCAGGCTTATTGAAAACAGACTTGTATTTCTGTTACCTATGCGTAAGTATCCGTTAGTCATGTGCCTGTCAAGTAGATCCAATAAATTTACTGATTCTACACTCAAGTGCAACCTTCTTTCCCTCCCTTCCTCCCCCCCTTCCTCCCTCCCTTCCTCCCTCCCTTCCTTCCTTCCTTCCTTCCTTCCTTCCTTCCTTCCTTCCTTCCTTCC